CTAATTGTGTCTGGAGTTCCATAATCGTTACGTTATCCTCGCCAGGGCTCTCCTGCTGCCTTTGCTGATGCGCCTTCTGCAGTTCCTCAAGCTGAGTCTGTAAGTCCAGAACTTTCGCAGTCATTTCTTCGTCACGGGCATCGAGGATTTCTTCATATCTTTTGGCTGTTCTTCCCAGGTCGTCTTCTTTCTCGGCAATCCTTCTGTGTAACTGACTTGTCTCTTCCTGATGGTTCTCCAGCAGTTCCGCCTCCACCTCCTGGGCCTTACTGATGGTTTCTTTGATGGTGGCTTCCAGTTCCTGCTCCTTCTGGGCGAGCTGTGTATTAAACTCTCTCATCAGCTGTTTTAACTTAGAATTATGTTTCAACTCGAGATCTTCTTACTCCTGTTTGATTTTCTCTTGCATTTCCTGTTCGCACTCTTTCTTTACAATCTCCAGCTCCTGCTGATGCTCCTTCCACAGCATCCGAAGATCCTTCTGCAATTTCGTGACCTCCTTGCCCAGTCTCTGCTTCTCCTTCTCAGCCCCTGCTAACTTCAATTCCAGGTCGTGGTGCTGGGCCTCCGTCTTGAGCAATTCGGGCGGGACGTCGTCTGCTTCTGACTTGTTTGCCACACTTTCCTCCAGAACGCCTGTGGGATTCTTGATTCCACCCGCCTGCTGCTGTAAGGCCTGTAATTTGTTGTATTTTGAGGTCAGCGCTTGCATCTCAGCTCGATGGACCTCCTGCTCTCTCACTAGGCAGGACTCCAGCTCTTGCAGCTTCTGCTCCAGCACCTGACAGGCCAGTTCCTTCTCCCGGAGACCCTGCTGGACATCGCCAACCTCATTTTCCAATCTGTGCTTTGCCTCCATGGATTTTTCCTCATCTCCTTCCACAGGCTGGGATTCTATCAAGGGACAGTTCCTGATTTTTGTTTCAAGTTCTTCCTTAAGCTGCTCTATCAGAACTTTATTTTCATGTTGCTGCTTTTCAGCATGTTCTAGTTTTATTAAGAGCTCCTGGTGTTTGCACTGCATTTCAGAATGAGAAGACACAGCTTCTTGTTTTTCCTGCTCTACCTTCTCTAACAGTTCTTTTTCAGATAAATTCCTTTGTAAAACGCTCCTTTTCTCTTCATCCGCTTTCTGCACAGAGTCTTGGGAATCCACTTCTTGCGTGGCACAGACTGCCATGTTCTGGGCTAAGGTGCGTACAAGTGGGGTTTCTGATTGCGAACTTTCTATTGATTTGAGTTTTTCTTCCAAAATGAGAACTTCCTTCTCTCTTTGCTGCAATTTGGTACTAAGCTCACTTAGGTGGCTCTCAGTGTCCTTTTTATATTGCTGCTCTTTGTCTTCCATTTGAGATAACAACTGTTTCTTAATGGCAGCTATTTTCTGTTCAGCTTTTTTCTTCAGTTCTCCCAGCTTGGAAGCACTTTCCAATTCCAGTCTCTCCCCCAATGCCTTTAATTCCTCTTCTTTGCTTTTCAAACTGGAATTCACACGCTCTAAATCTTTATTCTTAGTCTTGAGCTCGGATTTCATGGAAGACACTTGCTTTTCAAGTCTTGAGACCTTCTCTTCCGCTTCTAGAACCCTGTTGAATATAATAAACTAGTATTTTTTAAAAAGAGCCAACCAAAAAAACACCCCTACGTCTGCTGTTAGGGACCTCTCCAGGGTACTGAAGAGCAATGGTGTCACTCTGGAGACTAAGGTGCACTTGATACAGGCTGTGGTCTTTAAAATCACTTGTTATGCATCAAAGAGTTAGACAAGGACTAGGAAAGATAGAAGGAGAATTGATGCCTTTGAGCTGTGGCGCTAGAGAAGAGTATTGAATATACCATGGACTACTAAGAAAACAAACAGGAGAGGGTTAAACTAGGCTGCTCCTTGGAGGCAAGGATTCTGGGGCTTTGTCTGATATACTTTGGACATGTTGTAAGGAGGGACAGGTCCTTAGAGATGGACATCATTCTTGGAAGGGTGGCGGGATGGCACAAGAGGGGAAGACCCTCTATGAGGTAGATTGATTCAGTGACGGGGGTAATCAGGATGGGTGTGTCAGAGGCAGTGCGATTGACACAGGACAGAGCAGAGTTTAGAGCTGTTTTACACAGGGTCGCTATGAGTCGCAAGCGACTCTACGGCACATAACAACAACAACAGCATGCTTGTAAGCCAATTCATTGAGTATTCATGTACTTTGGCATGTCACTAGTATAGTAAAGCTTTCTTTGCTTTGTTATTTACATATAAACACATAATTAGTTTCCTGGAACTTCTATTTCTTCAGTGTACTATCACAGTAGTGGAACCTTCTTCAAACAATTGAATGAAGTGATATATATGATTAAATATTTCAGTTAATGAAATAGATATTTTTCTTAGAACACAGCAAATCATAAATCATTAAATAATTATTCTATATGGGCCAGTTTTATTGTATTGGTTGTGGTTATTATGCTATGGTACTTTTGGGGTGGTAAGAAGTTATAAACATGTGCTCAAATTCTTTGAAAATTGATCATTAAGCTCCTCAAAAGCAGAAATGTTACTCTTTTATTCAAAAGTATTACAGGCCCCCAGCCTGGTACCCAACTCATACCTGAATTTGAAGATTTGTTTGCTTAAATGAAGTTCAAATCAAACCTATCCACCAACATATACTATACATTAAAGTTGTGACATTACTATAGTGAATCAAACAAAAGGATGATTCTTGGGTTTCAGACATTAAAATAGTTCCTGAAATTAGCATATGACAAATAATCAGAATGTGTGGCTAGTATATAAACTTTGATCTCTGTTGTTGGTTGACAACACAAGTACAGCTTAAAGTGAACCTGCGTGCGCACTATAGAATAGCTCTGAGATCGTTTTCAACTCAAACTGATAGTTTTCAGCACTGTGACCTTTAAGGATCACAACATCAGGTCTTGCTTCTGGGGCTTTGGTTAGCGGTGTAATTTTTTTGGGTTTTTTTGTTTGTTTGTTTGCTTGTTTTGTTTTGTTTTTTACTATTTGTGCCTTCTTGGGACTTTACTGCTATATGTTCTCATTAATTTTTAGTTCAAGACAGTTTTAAATTTAATATGAATATATACCTGGCTTGAGACAGTATTTCATCCATGATTTGAAACAAGCCTCCAATCCTTCCATTTCAACAGTTAATTTCACAGATTTAACAGGACATGTTTCAAGAAAATCTTCTAATCTTTTCATTCCAGAATTAGGATTCTCTTTGATTTCCTTTTCAATGCATAGGGACAAATTATTCCATCTTTCTTCTTCTCTTCTTTCCAGTTTATCTTGTTGTCTCTTTTTATTTTCTTCAATAATTTTTTCTGTCTTATTCTTCTGGAAAACAAAGAAATAGAAATTAAAAAACCTAAACAATAAACAGCATTTTAAAATATAACACAGTGTTTTCAGAAAGGAATATTTGCTATATTAGGCCATCAGGTTAATTTGCTGTTTCCTTTATGTATCCTTTCAGCTTCTATATATTTGAGCCCATCTTTCAGATATATAGTGCTCCATTATTGCAAGTCTATGCATTTGGGTTTAATAAAAGTCAATTAAAACTATTATCTCATTATTACAAACCTTTTTAATAGCAGACAAACTGTGCTTTAATCACAAACAACTCTGGAGAGTAACACTGTTACTGTTGTTACACTTCACAGTAGTGTCAACTACTACCTATTAAGACCCATAGGAACAACAAATCAGAAACTTGCCCTCTCCTGCACTATTTTCAGGTTTCTGAAAACAACATGTTGATCTATGTAGAGGTTTCACATGAGGAAAATAAAGTGTTCTGGAATTTCCTTTCTTCTGTGATCCATAACTTGTCAACATAAACATAGTAAAATACTTTTGCAAAGTCAATAAAATATAAAAAGAATTGATGCCTTTGAATTGTGGAGTTGGAGAAGAGCACTGGATATCCAATGGGCTGCCAAAAGAACAAACATTCACGTCTTGGAGAAGGTGCAGCCAGTGTGTTCCTTGAAGGCAAGGGTGTTGAAACTTCATCTCACATATTCTGGACATGTTGGTAGAAGAAATTATTCTTTAGAGAAGGGACACCATGCTTTGGAAGGTGGCGGGACAGTGAAGAAGAGGAATATCCTTAACCAGGAGAGTTGGCATGATAATTGTAGGAAAGGGTTTGAGTGTGTTTAGAGATTGTGAGGATGGCACTATTCAGGACACTGTTCAGATAGTTTTTTCATAAGGTCACTCATGACTTGTCCTTGATTCAATGGCATCTAACAACTACATCAATAAACATCTTCCTAGTGTTTAATCCTTTCAGCCATCTGACTCATCCATTATAACACTGGTACCATGCCTATTCTGAATCTAGCTTGAATTTGTGGCAGTTCCCTGTTTTTTGTAGTGTACAGCTATATTTTAAATAATCTACAGCTAGATAGTATTTGCTATAGTATCAAGTGATACTTGATAATATCAAGTGATATTTTTGAATAATTCAAGAGAAACATTCACAGCCTCTTGTGACATATTTATGGTCTTTCCTTTGTGTTTTTCTAATGACATTTTATTTTATTTATATATGATGTCCTTGACTGAATCCCACAATTCATCTGGATTTCGTTGCTACATTCAATCTATTCAGATGGTCTCTAAATTCAGATGGAATAGACTCCTGGTTAAATTTGTCTCTCATTGTTTGTTTTTATTTTCTTTAGCTTCAATTTGAGATATTTTTTCAATTTGAGGAAAAGCTAAATATCTCAAAATGAGAGATGAGATATTTAGCTTTTCATGATCATTTTTCACAGAAATAATTGATTCGTTTGTATTCCATCTGCTGAGATCCAATGTATAATTGGTATTTTTAATGATGAAGAAAGATATTTATAGTGAATAAATTGTAGATCTTGAAAAACTCTATTCTGCGATTTCCAGTGTAATTTGTATTATCCAGTCATATCTAACATTATGGATCTTTCTTCTTTGTTTTCAGCTCTCACACTAAATCACCAATAATTATCGATGCATAATGATTGCCTGTTTGCTCAATTATAGACTACATAAATTGGTTAAACAAACTCTTCAATTTCTTCATCTTTGGCATTAGTTATTTGCCTGTAAATTTGAATAATACTAGTATTAATTTATATATATTCTTACTAATAGCAGTATACACATTAGGACAGATTTTGAAATGTTCTTTTTTTAAAATGAATGCCTTCTTTTGTGTAATTATGATGGGTATTGACATAGTAGATGATATGATTGTCAGATTCTAAATACCTCATATAGAAAGAACATTGTCGTTCATTAATGGTACAGATATTGATCTTTATATGTTCTATTTTCATTACATGTATTATTCATACTTACTACACTCCAATTATTGATGAAATTTGCTGCTCTTTCTTCTTATTGTGAATCATGCAACATCAGTAAATGAAGATCCTAAAAGCTTCGCTCCACCCACATCATTAAGGTCAATTCTTAATTGAGGAGGCAATTCCTTGGCACTTGTCTTTTTGCATCTCTGTCAGTTTTAGAAGTTAGTCTTGCAGCATTGTATCTAACAATGCTTCTGTTATTTATAAGGCTTTTGGTCTATTTTTTATCCCAAAAGTAAATTACTAGTTTGTTTTTTTTCTCTCTGATCTAACTTATAAAATGTATTTGCAACGAATAAGTCATTGATTTTACAAAATCCAATCATTCTATCTCCAGCCTCATTCCTGTCACCAAGCCCATGTTTTCCGAC